GCTCCTGCCGCCTTATCCTCCATACCACCTGCTGGCCCGAGAAGATATCTTTATCAAATGTCTGTCACTAAAGTATATCTTTTTCTCTTTTCTTCTCTTCTTCGCTTCGCCTCTCCTCCCTCCCCTCCTCTCCCCTCCCCTTCCCTTTTATTTCTTCTTTTTTCTTTTTCTTTTTCTTTTTTTTTCTTTTTCTTTTTTTAAGAGAGATCTTTGCTATTGGGCATGTGTACTCGCCAGAGAGACAGAAAGCGAGAAATCACCCCTTGGGTGGATGGCCATGCCGCAATCCCTTCTCCTCCATTCTTCTCTTGGGATCTTGGGCACGCACGCGCATGCGCCCAGTATGAGTTTTAAGCTGCCAGGTCCAGAACTCAACTGTGGTCTACAACATGCAAATCCAGCAATGTAACCATTATGCCATTTCCTGGTTCCTAAAATGCATCTTAAGATGATTGTACTTATTCTTATTGAATAAGCCCTATAGAGCATCTGTGATGTACAAAGCATGTTTAAGGTTGAAAGAAAAATTCTTCATAGTTGTAGACTTCCTTTCCACTGGGTCTAGAGGCAGAGCTGTGTGATTTACGCAGGACAGATCTGACCGAGCTCATCTCACAGATAAGCAAACTGCCTTCCTTCACCACGCGGCCTTTATTGTTGCAGGGATGAGGCAGGTGCACTACAGGAAGATCTGAAAGAGCTTACGACAGACATGGCTATAGAGGAGAAAGACGTGCCCCAGGAAGACCTGCAGCAGTGCAAGAGGTTTCTGAGCGAGTTTCCTCGGGTGAAAGCAGACCTCGAGGAGCGCATAGAAAAGCTCCGTGCCCTTGCAGACAAGATTGACAAGGTGCACAGGGACTGTACCATATCCAACTTGGTGACCAACACCGCTGGTGCTCTCTCTGGCATCCTGAGCATCCTTGGCCTGGCTCTGGCACCTGTGACCGCAGGAACCAGTCTGGCGCTCTCGGCAACCGGGATGGGGCTGGGCGCAGTGGCAGCTGCGACCGGAGTTTCTACCAGCATTGTGGAGCATGTGAACATGGTGTCAGCAAACGCTGAAGCCAGCCGCCTAATGGCAACCCGCTGTGCTGAGGAGCAGGTGGTCACAGACGTGAAGGAGAGCACACTCAGAGTCCTCTCTTTAGCCAATCATTTCAAAGAAGTCCTGGAAGGCATGGAAAAGAACATCAATGCCATCAGTCTAGCCAAAGCCAACCCTCGGTTGGTGGCCAAAGCCAAGCGCTTCATGACCAGTGGGAGAATCTCAGCCCAAAGCAGTAGGCAGGTGCAGAAAGCCTTCGGAGGCACTGCTCTGGCGATGGCCAGAGGAGCCCGGATCATAGGTGCGGCCACCACAGGTGTCTTCCTCATGATGGATGTGGTCAGCCTCATGAAAGATTCCATACACCTGCATGATGGGGCGAAGACTGAGTCAGCAGAGGAGATGAGGAAGCAGGCTCAGGAGATGGAGAAGAAGTTGGTGGTGCTCACCTGTATCCATGGCCTTCTGCAGGTAGGCCTGACCCAGTGAGCCCAGAGCTGTGCAGAGGACACGGGAGGCGTGCACTGGACAGAGGCTGGACTGAGCGGAGGCATAACAGTAGAGGGGAAAAGGTGCTCTGAGGTTTATGAGAGTGGGTGTGAAGGAGTTGGGCATTTCTGTAGCTGAGCACAGGGAGGGTGGCTAGTGCAGGTGCCACATGGTTGAAAGCAGCAAAGCTGAGACTGGAACAAGGGAGGACAAGGGACTATGTGTGGGAAATGGGAAGTAACCACTTATTTTCAAGTAAAGACGAGTCTGGGAACATGAACATGGAAGGAGGCATGCAGGAAGGAGTAGCAAGAAGGCCTGGAAAACTGAAGAGTTGGAAATGGGAGAAGACCAAGGGTCAGAATGTTTGGGATACGGGAGGAGAGACAGCGGCCCCCCTGCCAGCCCTCCCCATGCACACATGCCCAAAATGAGTCTTTTTTTTTTTTTTAAGATATTTTTGCTATAGGGCATGTGCGCTCATCAGAAAGAGAGAGACAGAGATACAGAAAACGAGAAATCACCCCCCAGGGGTGACGGCCACGCTGTAGTCCCTTCTCCATTCTCCTCTCGGAATCTTGGGCACCCATGCACACGTGCCCAGCCTGAGTTTAAGCCACTTGGTCTGGGACTCAAACCGCGATCAACTACGTGGAAGTCCAGTGACATAGCTATTTCACCAACTACGGGTCCCGATACCCAGCATGAGATTTAAACTCCTGGGTCTGGGACTCAAATAACGGTCCGCTACATGGGAGTCCAGTGACATAACCACTACACCATCTGCTGATCCCGTGGAAGGAGCTTTTACCCCATAGTTTCAGCTACTTAAGGATGGCTGAGCCTGAAAGCCCACACCCTCTCCAATCAGTTCATATTTAAAGCTCTTTCCAGATGGGGTTTGGGTGCCTGGGTGTTTGGAGGGGTGTGCTCTGTAAGGAAGCCCGTGCTGTTTCTGTCTTGGGGTTCTGTGTTGATTGTAGTCAAATGCACTGAACTCACATTCTTCCCGAGTCCTGAACTGCTGGAACGCGTATGCCCAGGGGAGGTCGCAGTGGCAGTAACCAGGAGGCCGTGGGCAGAGTCTGTGTGTAGTTGTGCAGACACAGAGTGGCAGCGCCTCCCACAGTGAGGGTCCTTGCTCAGGGACAGGCTCCGTACACCTTGAAATCAGACTCTCTGGTTCTGCACTTTAAATCAACCCCACTGGGCCTTTCCCTGAGGCTGGGGGCCCGCTCTGATGGATCTCAGGTGAAGGTCTAGCCATAGCTTCTAAAGTAGAACTCTGAAGTCTGCAGTGCTGCCACCTTCTGGGGGCTCTGGGAGATCTGTAGGCCAATCCTGGGCGCCTTGTGTGGGTGGGTTGTGGCCCTGCTGAGCTTATCCATGCTGACGCAGTCTAGAGTAGCCAGCCTGCTTGAGTGCTGAGGCTTACCTGCAGGTGCAACGCTTGGGCTGGGTGTGGGGTCTGCCATTCTTCTTGCTTCCCCTAGAGGGCACTGTGCCTGCTCCCTCGGAGAGGTGAGGGAGGCCTCCCATGTGGGGTCCTCAGTCTTAGGGAAGCTTGCTGTAGATGAGGCAGAGTCCAGCCACAGCCGTGCTTGTGCATTCCTGTACTCCTCTGGGTGCATTTGTACGGTGGTGGCGGGGTTGAGGGCTGCCACAGAGACTGCAGCCCACAGGGTCACAGAACGTTCTCCCTGGCCCTTGGTGAGAACCGTGACCCACCCACGAAATGGGAAGGCAGGAAAAGGCACAAGCAGGGTGGGCCCGTGCAGTGACCATACCCCAGAGGGACAGGAGGGTCGTTAGCAGAGGGCCACAGTGGGATTTGTCTGCTAAGCAGTCAGGCTGAGTCTCCTCATGGTAACCCCCAAGGAGTTGTTTAAGAAAACCCAAGCTCCCCCAGGTTCTGAGGGTGAGCAATTTCCTGTGGGTTCTCATGGATGGCCTCTTTGTCACAGGGGAGGGGAGGGGGCGATCCTGTGAGATGTTCACACTGCTGTGTTTACACCTGGAGCTAGAGGTCTTCCTCGCCCTCGTCCAGTTAGAGCTGTGCGTGTTGTCCCAGGAATCTGCTGCCCTGACTGTCTGGGCCCTGCCCCTCTCAGACCTGGTATGGGGGTCCTAGTTCCCTGGAGAGCTTGAGCCAGCACCCTGAGCTCATGTCACCGACGTCCTTCCAGCTCCTGGCCAAGGAGAAGACCATCTCTGCTAAGTATGCAAATGAGTGTGATCGGGCAGAGGCGGAGGCAACGTCACTGGCCCGGGCCCTGGAGGAGGCCATGGAGCAGAAGGCGGAGCTGGAGCGGCTCAACAAGCAGTTCCGCACGGAGATGGAGGACCTCATGAGCTCCAAGGACGAGTTGGGCAAGAGTGTTCATGAGCTGGAGAAGTCCAAGCGGGCCCTGGAGCAGCAGGTGGAGGAGATGAAGACCCAAGTGAAGGAGCTGGAGCACAAGCTGCAGGCCACCGAGGATGCCAAGCTGCGGCTGGAGTTCAACCTGCAGGCCCTGAAGGCCCAGTATAAGCAGGACCTGAAGGGCTACAATGAGCAGAGCGAGAAGCAGCAGCAGCAGCTGGTCAGACAGGCGAGTGCAGCCCCACAGCCCAGAGGTGGGCTCCCTTCCCTGCTGCTTCTGACTACTTCAGTCCTCCCAGGCCTTTCCTTTCAGTCCCGTGTCCCGGGGGTCAGCAGCTCACTCCTAGAGTGTGGTCAGTGATCTTCCTTGGCACCTGGGGAATCCACAGGTCTGGCCTGCACCCACCTGTCTCGTGGAAGTGAGGTCTGTGTGCCGGTCCAGCCTCCTGAACCGCCTCCTTCCCCAGGTGCGGGAGATGGAGGCAGAGCTGGGGGATGAGCGCAAGCAGCACTCGTTGGCCATGGCTGCTCGGAAGAGGCTGGAGATGGACCTGAAGGATCTGGAGGCCCACATCGACACGGCCAACAAGAACCGGGACGAAGCCAACAACCAGCTACAGAAGCTGCAGGTGAGGTCCGCTGGACCCAACCGGAGCTGGCTGCACACGGCAGACACAGGCAGGGTGGCCGGGGAGCGCTGGCAATGGCCACCTACCCCTCTCAAGCAGGGTCCTGGGTGTCCTGAGCCCCGTCTCACAGGCAGGACCCAGGGGCAAGTGGAGACAAAATAGTCGGAAAGCAAACTTGCAGGGAGATCAGGGACTTGATATTTACAAGGCGTGCTGTCTAAATCCTAAAGGTCGGAGAAGAGAAAAGTGGTAGATACAGGGGGTTGTTCTGTGAAGCCATCAAACAGCTGCGGAAGCTGCAGGTGAGGTCCGCTGGACCCAACCAGAGCTGGCTGCATAGGGCAACACCAGGCCACGGTACCGGGCCAGACGTGGGTGGAGGGGCTGGGGAGCGCTGCAACGGCCACCAACCCCTCTCAGGCAGGGTCCTGGGTGTCCTGAGCCCCATTTCACAGGCAGGGGCCCGGGGGGGGGG